CATCTTAGTTTTTAAATAGATGCATTTGCTGCCTCCATCATGTTGGGTTTTGTGTTTCCACCAACTTCTTTGTATTCACTAATCTGATGGTAAATTGGAACAGGCCCTTGGGTATTACACAACCAGGCTATGAGGGGACGGATGCCATGAGGAGGAAATCACAGTCACACACAATCAAGTTCCCAAACATGAGCTGCAAACTTGGGCCCCTGGTAAAAATCTCCAGAGAAAAAAATATTAAAAGAAGCTGTCAGGGATATGTTCCTTCTTCCCTGTCAAGTGTATCTAATAAGCATCCAGAAATCAGCATCAGAGAAATTGAAAATGGAAATTTCCCAGAAACTGCAGTCCATGTATTAGAGTAAGTAAATAGCCAGATATCAGAGGGAAGTGGAGGGGGACTTCACCTATTAGCTGCTTACATTCTACACATTCCATGTAAGCTGTTCTCATGCCATCACTGGCTAGTTCCAACATGGAGGGGAAGTTGACCCAAACTTTACCCCAAAATACATTATATACTCCTTAACATGGTAAAAATCACAGGAACAACCTAAGACAGGCACAGTCACAGGGGGGCCATCAGGAGAGAAATTGGGGACCAACAGAGGGGAGGCTTAGGACCTCACCCCCCACCTGTTTTGAGAGAAATCTTCTGCATCCGTGGATGTCTTGTTGCCCTTGTCTAGCTTGGATTAATACTTAGTCTATAGGCACAGACTTGATCATCTACATTTGCCCTCTTACAGCACTAAACTATGTTTTCTACCTTTATCTTGCATCTACCTACCACTTCAGCATTTTATTAAAAAAATGATAATAATAATAATAAGGGAGAAATGTGGGATTCACATATAAATCATGAATAAAAATCAAACGAATAATCAAAAAAAAATCACACCCCTCCATCATTAGCATAGTAAAAATCATACATCCCCAGGCCATGACAGCTCTGATAAAAACCAAGTATAGCCAAAACTCTCCCCACCCAGTATGAAGATGGAACAAACCGAACTCTGAAAAAACTCCCTTTATCCGCTTTGAAACCTAACCCCACTTGTGAATGTTCATCTCCCTTACTTAAACAAGGTTCCCAACTGTTGGTTCAGTGCAACTTCCTCCAGGTATGCCCATGCCCCAACTCTTGGGTGTGTACTTTTGGCTCTCTCTGAACTTCTATTTTCCAAATAAACCCTTAATGCACAACCACTTTTTGTGTCCCTTCTTGAGTTCTTTCCTGCAACAAGATCAAGGACCCATCTCTGGTAACACTTGGAAATAGGTACTTCTCTCTGCTGTTCCCCTAAGCTGATTAGATTATTACTTAGAGGTATGGGTAACATTCTCATTCATCCATTTATTTTTCAGAAGTCCTGAGGGGTGGGGCAAAGCAGGGAGTATTTCATGTCCTCTAGTCCTTATAGGCTGGCAGAGAACAGGGATGGTAACTGGAGTTGGGCAGAAAGACCCAGAAAGTTCATGGAATAAGTGGATCAAGGGGCAGGTGTGGATATAATGTAAGACCTCCTGCTCTCTAGCCAGATGCTCTTATTTATTTAGCAGGCACCAACTGCCTCTATGCCACCAACCCTCCACCTTCTTTTCCAATTCCTCTACAAGGGATATTAAACTCTGAAGATTTCCCCTATGATTCCTCTTTTTCATTTAACAAATTCAGTTGAAATTAACATGTGGATACTTTTTACAGCCATTTTGTTTACTCAAACATCTAGGGGAGGCTAGGGAATGGCAGAGACAGGAGAGCACTTCTTCATTTTCTTGATTTGCAGGGCTTGTTCACAACATCCCATAGCAAGCTAGCAGGACTTTTCTCTGCCTGTTCAATGGGTTGGGAAGGTGGAACATACAAACAACCTGTATTAGGGAACCAGTGAGGTCGGGCTACCTATGCCAGGAGCCAGCAAGTCATGGAGTGGACATGTCCTATTGTTATAACTCCAGCACTTATCTACCTTTAGCCTTACTGGGATTGGGATTCCCCCCCACAAGGCAGTCTTACTGTCTTGCTTAGATATGGACCCCTTATTGCAAAAACAAGTCCCTGCAGTATCACAAAAGAAAGCAGTTGGGCTTCAGGAAGCAGAAGGCTGGAAGAGTATGTGGTACACCAGTGAAAAGAACACCACACAAAGAATCTAGAGACTAGCTTCAAGTTTTAGCTTTGTCACTGACTTGCTATGTGGCCTTGGTCAGGAGTAAGCTTCTCAGACTATCACCGTCATTGTGGTGGAATGTGCGTGTATGTATGTGTGTGTGTATGTGCACATGTGCATATGCACACAACCATGGCCAAGGTTGTTGTGGGGAGTCCCCTAAGATCCCTGACATCTGACATTCTAGAATTCTTGAGGACTAAATAAGGCCAACAGGACACTTTAGGCCTGACCTCTGAAATGTACCCATCAGACCTTGCTGGTGTAGGGGCCAAGAGCAGGCTGCCCTAAGATGTGCCATTGTAACATGCAGACTATTTCAGAGCTGAAAACTATCAAGACCCAAAACATTCAGGAAGAAACTTTGACCTCCTGCCTCCCCCTGCCTGCCTATGAAGAATTTAGTTGGAGGATCTGCTCCAGGAAGACTGCTATCACAATAGATAATAACTATAATGTAAAGTAGATGTGATAGATAGGGAGGGAGGTAGCTAAGCCTATTAAAAGTTCTCTCTGTGCCCCATTGTTTCTGGGTGGCCCACCAAGCATTTGTTTACCAAACATTTACTCTTTCATAATCCTTTGAATTACTTCCCTTTTCCTTTGAAGTTTCAGACCCTTACCCACTTCTTGGTTCAGGATGACATATATGTCATTCTCCCTGGGATTCCTTTGGAATCTGTATCTATGGATTCCTGTACATATGTACATAACTAAACTTTTTTTTCCCCTCCCATTACTCTGTCTCATGTCAATTTTATTCTTAAACCAGCTAGAAGAACCTCAAGGGGTAGAGAAAATTACTTCCTCCCCAACACTGGAGAAAAGGCTTTCTAGAGGGCAACCCCTCTGACACTGTTAAGTCCCACAGTGACCCCACAGTCTGAAAAGTGGCCTTTGAGGAATTTGTTCTTTTTACCAATTTAGATGAAGAAGGGCTTCATTGACAAAGAGGGTGACAGGGTTGTGTGGGCTTGGAGGAAATTTGAGTATGAAATGATCATGGTAACAAAGGAGGTAGAAAATAACTGTTCTATCAATCCTGGCTCAGAATTGCCTTTTTATTTTCTATTCCTAACACCAGACAAAAACACATGAAATTCCTTCTGAAATACTGAGTCTTTAATCAGAGTTCATTGCTTTTGAGTTTGGTGTTAATGAAGCTCCCTGAATAGGTCAAGGAATTTCTAGCTATTCTTGCTCCCCCAAGGCCCCATTTACACAGACTAGAGGCCAAGAGCTCATGGAGGAATTAGAAGGTCTTCCAGGCATTGGGAAGATGTTCCAAGGAATAGAAACACTGCTGCTGGGAACTTCTCCTCACAGCAGACCCTGCAGGGGTAGAGAAAAAGAGGCCTGCTAACCAGTCACAATTTCAGAGTACCTTAGAGTTGATGGGCTTGGCAGAGGTCATTTGATCCAGCCCTCTGCCTCTGATCAGGCAACTAGCCAGAACAAATCAGACACAAGGGAAGGAGAAACCATGATTTCCTAGTTAGTCTGGGCCAGTGCTGGCTTTCTCTTATGAGTAAAAGGATCTGTTTATACAGATTCATTCCTTTTTCTGCATCTCAAAGAATGACTGCTGTTTTTTACTCTGCATGGGGACATTATCCTTCAAATAAGACTAAGGTATATACCAGATGCTCCGAATTGTGGTCTGTTCCAGTTCATCATTGACGTGGGACAAAGGGAGCAGAATGAAAGAAAGATGATTTTTTTTTGTACCTGGGGTAAATTGCTGTTTGTAATGCTGATGCTTAATTCCCTTAGAATATGCTAAACTGCTTACAGTGTTAAAGAGATACTGCATCTCAATTACAGGAAATGATACCTGCGTTGAGGCCACTGGAGTGGGAAACTAGCTCAACTTCTACACTGTGAATATAAGGCTTAAAATTGCTGCCTTCTCCCTGGTAGCATGTCCAGCCTCTCCCATCTTGGTTATTTAGCCTGTGGATTGTGGATTTCACAACTTGGTCCTGAGAGATAAATGTAAAATGTCATTACTGCTGGTTCTCCTGGTTGGCACAAGAAACAAATACTAAACAGCATACTCAACACGCAGGTACCTGTAAGGCCTTATAACTCACAGATCTGTTTCTATTTGAATAGAAACCTCAGGAATCAGAATAACAGTGGAATTACAGAGCAAAACCTACATTTGTTAGGCTATGTATATCCTCTGCAAGTGAGAATTTAGGAAGGGAAGGCTTTAGTAACTTAAGCTGCTGAAGGCTTTCTGGGTTCAGAAAAATCATGGCTATTTCTGATGAAGACAGCCAGGGACTGTTTTTATAAGTAGATGATAAAAAACAGAATTTAGCCCATCAATTGGACAGGGATGATAGTCTTGGACTCAAATGTACAGGCTTAGGTAGACCTGAGGCGCAGGGTGAGACGATCCCACCAATAGGAAAAGAAGTATGTTGGCTGGCCTGCACCAGACATATTGTATTCTGTATCTGGGGATGAATTAGTACATATCATTTCTTATCCAAAGGTTCATCCAGTGGTAATAAAATTCCATGACTTGAAGGAGTTTTGAAAGGCTCCTGAGTCAACCCAATTGTTTCCTAGCAATACCCAAAGAGATGAACCTTTCCTTTCTTAATGAAGAATTGCCACAAAGATTTCTCTAACTTTCTTAGACAGCTATTCAAGTAAATAACACCTCTCACTAACAGGAAGTTTTGCGTTGCCTCTAATCTAAATTCTTCCTGATGCTCTTCACATCTAATTCCTTTTTGTCTCTCCTTGGCTAAGATGGGAAGTTCTGGCTAAGCTTTTCAGACTCCCCAGTGCCCATGTTGGTAAAGGTCCTACCTCCCAGTCTAGGACAGAAGCCTGCCACTGTGCAATCTTGTCGATATTCTCCAAACGCCGCTTGCGCTCATTGATCTGCTGAGTCACATTTCTCATGACAGCCAGAGCAGCTGCCACATACCTGTAGTCACTGTGAAGACACAAAAGTAACAGTTGAATGAATCAGTGTGCCAGAGAACCAATATTCTGGGTGCAAATCCAACATCCATTCTCCTCTTCCTATTTAGTAAGAGAGATCTGATTTTCAGATGGAACCCATGCTACACAGTAAAAGACTACATGTACTATCCTTCTTAGTAGTAAGGTATGATTATCTAAGTTCTGTCCAATGATATGCAAAATGCAGTGTTGGGTAGAACTTTTGAGAAACTCTCTTTAAGGAAGATAGCATGTCCATCTCTTATCCTTACTCAATCCTGATGCTTGGGATGTAGATGTGATGGCTGAAGTTCTAGAGGCCATCTTGGATCATAAGGACAAAGTCTGTGGTCTTAGGGATAGGATAACAGAAAGTTGGAAGGAGCCCAGGTGTCTGAGGACGATGGAGCCACCACAGGAGCCACAGACTGCCTACCTGCAGATTTCTTTTACATGGAGAAGAAATAGACCCCTATCTTTTTTTTATGGCATTATTTTTGTGTCCTGCCAGATACAAACAGCCAAGGACCAAGAAGAGAGACTCACACATGGCATGGTCCGGACAACATTACCATCCCTTTATCAACTACTTCTAGAGAACTGTGCCCAAAGTCACTGTGAAATAACATCCACACCTTCTTTTTTTGCCTGTCCAATATAGAGATAGGATGTAGCATAGTGGTTATGAAAAGTCTGAAAGCAGATTCCTTGGGCTCAAATCCTAGTTTTGTCATTGGTTTGTGGTATGGCCTTTGGTAAGTCTTATTCACTATCTTAGTGACTCAGTTTCCTCATGTGTAAAATGGGGAGAATTATAGTAGGATCTGTTGAGTGTTTAATCATCCATGTAAACTATTTTACTCTTAGCTCATAGTAAATGTTAATGGTATTATTAATATAAATCAAACATTTCTCTAGTATAGACATCACGCAGATTGTCTCACAAAACCTCTAGCCACAGAACTACAGCCCCAGGCCCAGCTTCCTGGGACTTTGGATGGCCCACTTATTGAAGGTTATACCACTCTGCCAGTTTTCTCAATAGATTTGATTTTCAATTGAATGGCTCCTGTGAAAGGCAGAATGAAAGTGAAATGCCAAACATTTGGTGGAGCTACAATAAACTGAGAAGGCAGGAGCATGAGTTATGGTTCAGTCTTAACTAATCTTTTCTTAGAGAAGCTGAATATGCTTTGTGGTCACTAATGTGCTCACTGTCCCAGCACCAATTAGAAAGAAGAGCAGAAGAAAAGACATACAGCAATTGTCTTTTTCTTTCCTAAAATGTTGAAGTGTGGGGTGGTGGACCAAACAAAGGTATAGGGAAGAGAGTTCTAACTGCCAGGGCAGACACCATGTAGCACCTCCTCTTAGCTGGCCTCCTTGGTTCTAGTCTGTTCTCTGTGTACTTGCTAGAACATAGTCTTCAAACACTATTGTATTTCATCACCTCCACTGACAGGATGCTCACTACGCCTCCTACCCAGTTTATTCTGTCTCAGCATAACTCTTAAAACAAATAAACTCTTCTTTGTTCTGAGCCTCAGTGAATGCTAGCTATTACCAGTTTTTCTTCTAGATCCCACTGCTGATTCATATTGAGCTTAGAGTCAACTAATGCTTCCTAAGTCGCTTTAAAATATTCTGTTTGGAAGCTGCATCTCTCTCATCTGTCCTTGGACTATTGATTTCTTAGACCCAACTGCAAAACTTTACATTTGTTCCTATTACATTTCATCCTTTTACAGTTACTTATTGGAGCCTATGTGGGATCTTTGGGCTCTGTAACATTGTCAAAGTTTTTCCCTAGCAAGGCTATCTGAGCCTGCCATTTAGAAGCAGGATATGGTAATGACAGAATGGTGGTTGCAGTGTAGAAGCTGCTGATGTAAATAAGTACCTGTTTTGGGGGCCCATTTTATGTCTCTCATGCCATTCCTCTCTCTGATTTGAGTGCATCAGGAAAATTCCTGAAGCCACTTTCTGGGAGGTAAAGCATACAGCTGTACTGTCCACTTAGTCACACTTAATTAAAATCAAGTAAAATTAAAATTTTAGTTCTTCAGTTGCACCAGCTACATTTCTCAGTATTCAATAGTCATCTGTGGCCAGTGGCTACTATATTGAACAGCACAGATATAGAATATTCACATCACTATAGAATGTTCTATTGGAGAGCACTGACATGAGAATGCTTATCACCTCTGCCTAACCCCATGTATTGCTCAATCATCACTGCCACTGTGCCATACTATAAGTCAACCTTTGCCAATTTTATCTGGCTGCCTTTCTCACAATGGTTAAAAGGGGGATGTTCCCATTTCTGCCCCACTAGTTTTAGGGGTCAGTGAGAGAAGTGATTAGCTCTGATCCAGTCTAAGTCCTGCTCAAAGTCCCCAGGCTTCCAGATGAGGTCTACATATACTCCTCTGATGAGGAGATTGACTGAACCAAGACTGTCTTGTTCCAGACATGTTAGTTAAACTCTCTCTTATGCAAAGTTTTCCTTCTTCTCAGCTCAAGGCAGGTTGGGGTCACTTTTCTGTAAGCAAAGGTATTATTCTTCATTTATCACTGTCCATCTATTTGATCTCCCTCAGAGGTTACTCTGAGTGCTTGTACTTCAGACCTACCTACTTGACTAAACCTGCAAGCTAGCAGCTGCTTCTAATTGCCTTCAAATTCAAGCTACTCTGACATGCAGCACAGGAGCTGTCACCTTGATATAGCTTCCTGAGGCCTGCCAAAAAGGGTGGCCCATGGCCTGGAGGTAGTGCTGAGCCCAACAAGACAACATAAAGGACAGGGATTGATATAGCTTACCACTGCCTCAGCCACTCTATCAGTACTCTGAAGCTCAAGGTGTGGAAGTAGAGGGGACCAGGGACCCAGAGAGCAAGAAGGTCTTCAGAGAGGGGTTCCAGTCACAGGGTAAAGGAGTATAAAGAATTGCTTGAAAATGGCCTTTCTAGGGCTCTCAAACACAATTATGTAATATATAATTTACCTAGTTAATATCATCAGTCCACAGGTATGATTTTTACAGCCTCCTGCTAGGTTCATGGGATAGAGATTCAGGTGTGGGAGATAAAGTGTTACACAAAAACATTTGAGAACCACTCCTTGAATATCCTGGTTTTAAAACCATTGGTCTGAAAGATGCTCCACTGAAATTTAGGTATAATAGTGGCTGCTTCTGGTCACTTAGCACCATTAAGTATAACTGTGGAGGCCATTTAGGTTCATGATATTATGGGCTGGCAGAACTGGAGGAGGCCTTCCAGACTCATTAGTACAATGGTTCACAAACCTTCCTGGGCATGACAGTTACCGAGAGGGCTCTTTGAAAAGCTAGATTCCCAGACCACTGTCCATACTTTGTGTCTCTGCTTTGCCACAGAGACTTGCCCTTTGTTGTTTTCCCTTTCTGGACCTCAGTCTTTCCACCCATCAAATGAAGAAATCTGACTAGAAGATGATCCTTTAAGGTCCTTTCCATTTCAAGAGCCATAAATATTTTCCATTTTTATTATAAAAATATCTTAATGTTAGTGTGGATTCTCCAGTGTCCTACTTGCTCTCACAAGAAACTGTATCCTTGAAAACTTGGGACTTAGTTCTGGCAATGGTCTGTATTAAATATTTTCAGATTTGGAGATTTAGTCACCTCCAAATTTCATGTCAAATGAGAACCCCCACAATCCCCCAGCTAGTAGGAAGATTGAGGAAGGAGGCAGCAAAGTCCTTCTTTGCAAGGTCCTTCTCTATCTGCCTCCTTCACAGTCAACAGAGCAGGATAGGCAGAGCTACTACTGCTGTTATTCAGAAAAAGGGAGAGTCCAGTGCCACATTTGGATTTAAATCTGAAATCTGTCCAGGGGTCCAAAACCAATGAAGCACATTACCCATGACTTGCTAAAGATCAACAGCAACTTAAAATGAAACCATGGATTAGCCTAGAAAATTAACATAAACAAAAACAACTGGTCCACACCTATGGCTTTATGCAACTAGGTCTGGAAGTCAATTCCAAGAAAACAAGGCAATGGAACCAAATGAAAATGGGAAGCAGGCCTATTGAGAATCAAGCAGAAAGCTAAGGGAAATTGGGCAAAGGCCTTCTTCTTGGAGGACTCAGTCATGAAGAGAGCTGAGAGCTGGATCAAGTCTAAGGTCAGGAATTTAATATCAAGTAAAGGCAAGCTGGAAACAGGCTAAAGGCTCTAGGTTACCAAGTAAAGCATGTAAAAGAGTAGGGGATGGTTCACTGCAGACCATCCCCAACATATACAACATATACCTTACTGGTAGTGGTTAGGGGTATATTTCCATTCAGAGAGAGATAAACTCCTTGGTCTTCTTTTGGTTGGTTTTCTTGAAAATACTGAAAAACTTTGGAAAAAACCTCAGGGGAAGTCTCAAGTCTATTTTGCTCCAGTCATGCTCTGGATCTAAGGGGAAGATACAGTTGGGATGAGGCTGAGAAGGGAGGAAAGGATTAAAGAAGACCAGGGATGTAGACTTGCAGAAGAAACTTAAGGTCAGTACAAGTTGGGCAACCTGTTGTCAGGATACTTAAATTTATCAAGCAGAGTAGAATAAACAGTTAAACAGTTATTCTATCTCAATTGATTCACTTGGCTGAACTCCGGACTAAGGACCAAGCTCTAAGCTCCCTGAAGAAGGAGTCTAAGTTGTACAATAATGATGATGCATTCAAGTTTTGTGTCTATACAAACAACTTTATAAGCAACTCTCACAAATATTCCCTCACCTTACATTAACAAACTTGTGAGGTAAAGAAGAATATATCATCATCCCATTTTGCAGACAAGGTAACAGAAGCTAAAAAATGGAAAAAGGACATACATTCTCAATAAGGACCAACATGCAGAGGATGTTCTCTCCCTCACTCTTATCTCCCTCAATCCCTTACCTATGGTCCTGGGCAGTATACTTGAGGAGCTCAGCCAGTTGTAAGGGATACTTGCAGATCTTCTGCACTGGAGTCAAAAGGAAACCATCAATAGCAATGTCAATCATCTGCTGCAAGAGGCGACAGGCCTCAAAGAAGTGCTGGTAGCGGCTGTCCTTCATCAGTTTGGAGAGCTCCATGCAGGCGTCCAGATGGTTGTTACAATACTCAGAGTATATCCAGAATCCATCTTGCTGTGAGCAGAGGAAAAACAGAGAGAAAGGGAAAGGCTACGGAGGACTCCAAGTTTTGGAGAACTGGAATATCATACCCTGTTCTAATATAAGTATATTAAAGTGATAACATTAATATTTCCTAAATTGATTCATAATTTAATAATGAAAATAGGAATTATTTGGGAACTAGACAAACTCATTGTAAAAATTCATACAGAAAAATTAAATAAGTAGGAATAATAAAGAAATTCTATAAAGGAAGGGTAATGAGGGGAGACCAGACCTGACAATAGTAAAACACACTGTGGCAGTAAAGCTCTGGCACTTGCTCATAAAAAGAGATAGGTAAGAGGTTCTATTTCTGGCAATAGAAAACCAAGTTGTTTTAGACAGATCCTAGAACTGAGAAAAGCTAGAGAAGCTGGAAAAATATAACAAATTTATTTATTTGTAGGACTCATTCCATCCAGAGTTTCAAATTGTCTCCAAATTGTCTTACCAAAATACACCTTGGAGTATTTAGGGGTAAAGAGGCCATGACACATGCAAATTAAACACAAATGGCTGAGGAAAAAATATGAGTGCATGTATGTGTGTATATATAAATATGCATTTAGAGAGGAGGAGAGAGCAAGAAGAGAGAGGGAGAACACATTCAAATGATAAAACAAAAGCAGTGAAATGTTAATAAGAGATGAACCTAGGTAAATAGTATATGGGTGTTCTTGGTATTAGTCTTATTTTTCAACTTTTCTGTAAGTTTGAAATTATTTCCAAGTTTAAAAAAATCTGCAAGTTTTATCATACATTGTTCAGCACTCATTCAGAAGCAATATAATGTGTAAGAATATAAAACATGAACAAACCTATGAGAAATAATAGTTAATAGAAACTGATAGACAAAAAAATCAATATGAAGTTAAAAAAACATGGACTTAAAAAACTATCTTAAAATAACTAAATAGGTAAGCCATACAGATAAAAAAAATTAGAAAAACATATACTGAAGAATCTCCATACCATTTTCCATAGTAATTGCACCAATTTGCAATACTACCAGTTGTGTGTGAGGGTCCCCTTTTCTCTACATACTCGCCAACATTTGTTTGTCTTTTGGATAGTGGCCATTCTGACTGGTGTGAGGTGATACCTCATTGTGGTTTTGATTTGCATATCCCTGGTGATTAGTGATGAGGAACATCTTTCCATGTGCCTGTTGGGCATCTGTATTTCTTTTTTGGAAAAGTCTGTTTAGGTACTCTGCTTATTTTTTTTTTATTTTGGTATCATTAATCTACAATTACAGAAAGAACATTATGTTTACTAGGTTCCCCCCTTCACCAAGTCCCCAACACATACCTCTTCACAGTCACTGTCCATCTGCGTAGCAATATGCTGTAAAATCACTACTTGCCTTCTCTGTGTTGGACAGCCCTCCCCGTGCCCCCCACGCACTATACATACTAATCATAAAGCCCTCTTTCCTTTTTCCGGCCCTGATCCCTCCCTTCCCACCCATCGTCCCCAGTTCCTTTCCCTTTGGTAACTATTAGTCCATTCTTAGGTTCTGTGAGTCTGCTGCTGTTTTGTTCCTTCAGTTTTCCTTTGTTCTTATACTTCACATATGAGTGAAATCATTTGGTACTTGTCCTTCTCCGCTTGGCTTATTTCACTGAGCATAATACCTTCTAGCACCATCCATGTTGTTGAGAATGGTAGGATCTGTTTTTTTCTTATGGCTGTGTAATATTCCATTGTGTATATGTACCACAACGTCTTTATCCATTCATCTACTGATGGACATTTAGGTTGCTTCCATATCTTGGCTATTGTAAATAGTGCAGCGATAAACATAGGGGTGCATCTGTCTTTTTCAAACTGGAGTGCTGCATTCTTAGGGTAAATTCCTAGAAGTGGAATTCCTGGGTCAAATGGTATTTCTATTTTGAGCATT